TACTGAGTATGACCTCTCAAATATATCAAGTCTTTGATATATTCAATGCAAGCGTTGCAACATCAGCTGGTCACCAAAAATTGATGATTTAATTAGCGCAGTAGAAACAGCTTTCCAACAGTTGGATCGAGACACACTTGATAGTGTATTCTTAACACTACAAACATATATGGAAAATACCATAATGTTAAACGAAAACAACATATTATAAGATTACTCATATTTATGAAGAAAAACTTCAAAGAGAAATTTGATTACCCATAAATTACACAAAAGCCGCGGAACATACAATTTTTTTTTTTTTTAATTGGATAACTGAAATAAAAGTTATAAAACTATTAAAGAACTTATTTATGACTTGTAATTTTTTATTAAATTTTTAGTAGTCTTTTATTTTGTTATAAAGTTGTACCGTTTTTTTGGTGACTTGATCACCTATTTTCAAGTGCCCAAGCTTGTTAGAAAGTCTTGAGCATGCCCCTTTCAACAAGCAATTACTTTTGAAAATTAGTATAACACAAGCAAAGCTATAGCTTTAAAAGTTTAATCTTTGCAAATGTGACAAGTATTATGAAACAAAATTTATGCATCAAATGTATTATAGAACTATTATAGAACGAAGGGAATTCTTTTTAATAAGAATTAAAGATTTTTTTCATGGACAACACTCTTCATTTCAAGTATTTTTTGATCTACAACTTTTGTTGCTCCTCATCTATAATAATTCTATTTGATATCACAACTGTACACTTCTGTCATGACAAAAAATTATCGCGTTTTAATTGTTCTGAACAGACAATCGATCTGGAATCTTATTTCTCTTTTGTGATAACTTGCATAGTGATCATTAATAATCACTACAATGATTCTATAATGATTAATGGCAACATTCTTAGTCCTCTGATAAAATAGTGAATGATATAAATTAATTTTTTATTATTTCATCATTATTTACACATTCTATTTTATTAACTTGTTTTATGTAAATTCGTCAGTTCCAAAATACCTTAAAATAAAAACTAATGGAATTGAGTGAACTTTTAAAATTCAGTTTCAAAGAATTGAAATTTGCAACTCTCTCAACCCTAATTTGCAAAATAAGAAACTTGTTAAACACAGCTGCTTTAGTAGTAGTAGTAGTAGTAGTAGTAGTAGTAGTAGTAGTAGTAGTAGTAGTAGTAGTAGTAGTAGTAGTTGTTGTTGTTGTATTTTTATTCATTTCGTCGTTAAGAATATATACAATGTACAAATATAACAAACAATACAATACAATGTACAAATGTAATAAACCTTATCACCGAGCCCGATTACAAACGGATTTAACAAATCCGTAATATATTAAAATATATATAAGTTATAAGAAATTAAGAAACGAAAAGGTACAAAAAAATTAAAAGTTAGTTAAGAAAGAAATAAAATGTATAACTATATACTTGAATATACATACACATACGTGTATATACATACACAAACATACTAACATATTGCGCACATACATATACATATATACATATTACCTCGTATTGTCGTTTTCTTAATAAAATGAATAAAATTCCATTCACAACAACATAAAATATATAAAAGTTTCAAAAACAAAATAAATGTATAATAATTTACAAATAGATACTGCATATTTAAAGTAAATAAAATATTTTCAATAAATATAATATTTAAAATAAATATTTTTCAAAAAAATGTGATATAGACACTGATATTCTTATTAATGCAAAAGTTGATTTTCTTCTTATTTTTAATTTTTTAGTAGTTAACATGTTAAAGTTGATAAAGTTAATGTATCGTTATAAATTTAGTTTGATAACTTCTAAAAAAGACGGGCAATATTTAGAGTATTAAAATCCGTATTTACTAAATTTTATTTAAAATTAGCTTTGAAATGCGGAAATATTTATTCTGTATTATGAACAATCTGTTTAAAACTTTTCCATAAAAAAGGTCCCCGCTACTGAATAGAATAAAAACATAACTTTAGATTATATATTTGGAGTTACAAAATTGAATTTGGAGAATCTGGTGGGGTATTTGTGGCTTAATTCACTAAAATATTGATTAAATATAGTTGGAGTTCGTGCTTTGTTTTATACATGAATTGTAAGATTTAATATATATAAATATTGAACACATTTAAGTTCTAAGCTTTTAAACACATTTATGATCTAAGCTTATTTAGAAGTGGCTCGCATGGCACATTTTTTGTTGCTCCAAATACAATTCTGCAAGCATGTTTTTGTTTTGAATAACTTTTTTTTCAATTTTGTGTAATTGGTGATTTTTAAAAAAAACCAAATTGCTAGTTGAACAACATGTTGTTTACCGTTAGCTATTAAGGCTATATATACATTATACGTTCTAGTAACTTAGAAAAGCATGGAAGAACCAATATTGATCTGTAATTTGTAGTATTTATGTCATCACCCAATTTAAAAATAGGTGAGCTTGATTTTGATTGTTAAACAGCTGCTTGATTTTGAAGGTATGAGAGTGCATGACAAAGTTATGTTAAAACTTCTGTTTAAAATTGGTATTTTTTTGTTAAGTTAAGTTGATTAAGGTGCCCAAAGAAGTCCTTACGGTCTTATCACAGAGCACCGCGGAAGAGCATTAATTAGGAAGTTCACGCCTCCTTCCCAACCGATGTCGCAAAACTTGCCCAGAGGTGGGGTTTGAACCTCGGATCTTACGTTTCTGAAGCAAGTGCGCTATCACTGCGCCACGGCTGCTCAATTAGTTACTATTAAGTTATTATTTTGGAAAAACAACAATCAAGTTAGATTGTTTCTAGAGCAACAATCTTAAATGAAAAGAAATTTAGAAAAATCATAGTTATATAAAAATAAAAAATAAACTAAACTTGACAATGTTAAATGAATATAGAAAGGTTGTAATGACTCTGATTGGTTATTAAATGAGCTGCACAATGTGCAACAGCAAAATTTGCTAAAGTAGAATATAAGATGACATCCATAAGTACGTACTTAGTAAAACCTCTAATATAGGAACCTACCTCCCCTTTGTACTTACTTTAATTCTGTAAATGCCCCCACCCTTGCCCCTCTGCCTACATACGCATTATTAACTCCAAAACCAACTTCCCAAACGCATAAAAACGTTTGGCTATCTTAAAACTTCTTTTTTAGTTAATTCGACATTTCTGTGTTACATTACGTAATATTGATCTTTTAAACTCGTGAAATACAACGCTATTGATAGAAAAAAAGAGGTTTTAAGAAAAACCGCGTACGTATCTGTATTACCCCCTCCCCCGTTTTCCCTTCTTGTTATGCGCATTTGAACGTTTTTGAGTAACACCCCTCCCCATACCATCGTACGTACTTTATGGAAGACCCCTAAGAACAACTGCAAAATTAAATTAATTGAAAATGTGACAAAAATATAAAAAGACTGTAAAAATGGTACAACTAATTGTTTTATAGTATTTCTACAAAAAAAAAAAATAGAATTGGACCAGATCTAGCCTGAAAAGCTAGAATCAAGCTTACAAATTTAATCATGTGTTTGCAGGAGACGCAGTCGCGTGTGAGAAATAAACAATACTAAAACTTTTTTTATAGCTTTTTTTCTATTTCTATTTTCCTAGAATTGGTTGATTACTTCTGAGATAAAATACGAGATTTAGGAATCTGAGTACATTGGAACTTAACATTATGTTATGTCGTCATATGTATAAATAAACTTATTTAGTTAGTTTCAGCAAAATATTTTGTATGTTTAAAAAAATATACTAAAAATGTTCTAGCGTTCTTAAACTTAATTTTCAGCTCATTCTTAGTAATATTATTAGGAAACTTTATACTATCAATTAAAACAATTATACTATCTATTAAAATAATAATTTTGAAAGATTAGAGTAAGTGGAAAAATTATGGAAGTAAAACAAGAGTGTAGGACCTGAGGACTGACGCAGTCTACACCAAGCAATTTGATCAATTTAAACATTAGTCACACTCCATCTGTGGCGTTCATAACAATTTAAACAATAGTCACATTCCATCTGTGGCGTTCTGCAAGGATCAGTCGTGGTAAAGTATTATTCGTCATTTATATCAGGGAATAATAATGTTACTATTACTTAAAAAAATAAAAAATCTGTATCTATGCTGATAACACTATAATCATCAGCATCAATACACTTGCTGCTCAACTTCAACTCTCATCAGACATTGTTCAAATTGTTCTTGAAAGCAAATCTTGGATCATGGAGTTGAAGAAATGCATGGTCATAAACTTTAGCTAAAAAAAAATAAAACTTTTTACGAGTACTTAATGGAAGAAACGAGAACTAATTCGATAATGATCCTTATTATAGAAATGACAGGAACTTCACCAGGAAAAATGCAGCAATAATTTAGCTCGTTTTAATTTTTTTAACCCATAGTTCCGAGGTTCGACGCCAGCTCCAGCCCAAAAAGCGACATTGGTACGGAAGGAGGTGTGAACTTCTAGTTAAATGCTCTCCCGCGGTGCTCTGTGATAAGACGTAAGGACTTCTGGGAACACTTAAAATAACCAAAACAAACAAAAAAAAACAACCTCGTGAAACTCTTCATTCAGCTAAGTAGCATCATATTTATGTAAGTGTTCGCTCATGCTCTAAAAATTCTTTTTCATCTAGTTTTTTTCCTGGAACATCGGTGCTTTGGAAATCTCTCCCGTCTTCATGTTTTACTGGAACATTTAAAGTTCACAGTTTTTTAAGTCATTCAACCATTTTCTTGATTTATAATACTCCTATTTGTAATTTGTTACATCCCACTATAATTAGTTGTTCCTTGCAGAATTGTTTGGAGTAATATATATATATATATATATATATATATATATATATATATATATATATATATATATATATATATATATATATATATATATATATATATATATATCAAATTAGATAAAATACAGAATGTGTAATTATTTTCTTTTTATCTATTTACACCGTCTTAAAAAAATGACATCCACCATATTGCTAAAATTTAATTAAGTGAACTATTTTATTTAAATAAGACTATTTAAATAAAGCAAGTAAACTGGTATTTGCTATTTGTAATAACTTTGTCTATTTTTGTACTTTTTCAAATAAAATCCTCATCAACGTTTTGAAAAGTTCAAAGTTCCTAAATTCTTGTTGAAAGTTCAAATATTACAAAACATGTTCAAATCATTATAATGATTATAATATGTCCATATCATCATCTAAACCATATTCATCATCTTTACTTTTATTTTCAAAATTTGAAACACTCAATGATTTAGAACTGACCACCGAATCTTTCGATTCTATCTTGGGTTTGAGTTGTGTGCTATAAAGAAATAATAATAAATAACAAATGTAAAGAAAGAAATAATAAGTTATAAAAACAAAAACAGTTATCAGTTATAAAAATAAAAACAAAAAAGTATTCAACAAAACGAAACCTTGTTTTTATTCCACCATTAAGAAATCTTTTACTTTCAACAAAATACTGATTTGGATGATTAATGGTTGCCGTTCCCTCTCCTGACTATAAAAAATTATCATCATTATGCTTAGTTACTATTATTAATAATCGATTACTTTAAATAACGATTACCAGCTTCAAATGTTCTGAGACTGACCACGCACTCAGAACACATTTGTAAATGTATGTATGTAGGGGAGAACCTTAATGAATGGGACAATTATTGAATGGGACAAAATCAAACTTGCATAGAAGCATCTACGGTTGGCTATCCAAACTCCTGTGGTAATAAGTGTTTGACACAACCATTCAACAGACCAAATCTTTATTTCTATTATGGTCTAAACGTAATGGCATTGGATGTTATTGTGTTTTGAAGAACAATAAGTAATTTTTAAAAACAATTTTCTGTGTCTGATTTTGCAGCGATTACTAAAGTTAAGGAAAATGAAACTCTAATTTTCAACACCCAAATGTCTCTACTTTTTAAATTTGTAAAGTATTTTTGTTTAGGTATTACTGTTTTTAACCTGTCCTGTCATTTGTGGATATAGTGGGAAGCCTATTGAATGGGACAAAGTATTGATTATTGAATGGGACTTGTCCAAACAGCCTGATATGAAAAAAGTAGAAAAATATATTTCGGCAACTTAGTTATGGTCACACATAATTTTATTTTTAATAAAATTTTTTGTTTTACTAAAAACAATTATTCGTGTTTTTAATTTAACTTTAATATACATATATTTTTTAATAAAACTATTTTAGGTTTGTCAATATATGCAGACATTCGGCCATATTTATAGCTTTTTCGGGTTCCCTAATGGTAGAAACTACCCTTACTGCTTGACTGGCTTGAAAGTTACTTAGGACCTCTCTTCTTTTATTAATTTTTTAGATTTGTCCCATTCAATAATTTTATTTGTCCCATTCAATAAGTAGTTCTTAATGAATGGGACAAATGCCATGGTCTTATTAAACTCTCTTTTTACCAATACCCATATGCGGAATCAATTTTTTTGTTTTTGTTTATCATAGTACGAGAGTTAACAGTTATCAAACTATTTTCAAAGTGATTTTTAAACAAATTTATCAACCTCAAAAAATGCATTTTACGAAAACTGTCCCACTCATTAAGGTTCTCCCCTATGTATGTATGTATGTATGCATGTATGTATATATGTATGTATGTAACTATATATATAAATAAATAAATATATATATATATATATATATATATATATATATATATATATATATATATATATATATATATATATATATATATATATATATATATATATATTTATACAAAAATAACTAAACCTTGTGAGTGACTTCAAAATATTTTGCGCAAGCAATTTGATAATGCTGATGTTTCACAAGATCAATGATCTAAAATAACGAGATTAAAATTAAAAATTTTCAAAAAATCTGAACCGGTGTAAGAGGTACAAAGTATTCAACCGGAACGGATCACTGTACAATAACTCTTACCTGATATTGCAGATCACTTAAAGAATGACTCCTGCCTAGGTGCCGAGAACTATACTTTGGTACTGAACATTAACGTATTATTTTTTTGCGACAAATGTAATAAAACAAAGTAATAAATGCCGAAAGGTATAGCACTTTGCTTACTAACCACATAAAAATTTTAATATCAAACATTATAAATTTAGCATTTATCATAGTTTAATACTACTAATTTTTTTAATTCAAATTCAAAATATATACTACACTATATAGACATTTAAAAATAATTTAGTAAATTACCATTTTAATTAACTAACTTGTTTATAATTAATACATATAAATATATTTTACACATTTTATTGCCTAGTGAATTTAAAAATATTTTTAATTTTGAAAGAAGTTGGTGCTCAACTCAAATCTTATAAGGAAAAGGACACATCTTTTATAATATCTCATTATATTATATAAATTTTTTATATATTATTTATGTATAAAGTGGAGAGAAAAATATCATGGTTCAAGAAAAACTTAAAAACAATTTAAGAACCAAATTATTTAAATATTAATACTCCAGTTAACGCTCAATGTTTAATGCGCTTAGTAACTGTTTAATGCGCTTAGTTACAATTTTTATAAAGAATGTAATTGGCTCAAATAAAACCTGCTAACGTGTAGTTAGCTATATGTCTAATTTAATGAGCTTAGTTATAACGTTATGTAACGTTAGTTATAACGTGGAGTGAGCAAAACCGAATATTTTGTCTGGTTTTAAAAATCGGATTTTAACAAACCGGAACGGATATCCGGATATCCGGAATAGACTAAATGAACTCAACCCCAGTTAAAATTTCCAACTTGGGAGTTTTAAATAGGGGTGAGCAAAACCGGATATCGGATCCGGTTCGTTATAATCAAAATTCGGATTCATGAAACCAGACCGGATATCCGTTATAAGTAGGTTTTGCTCACCCCTACTTATAACGATTAAAACTTGTTTTCTTGGGCAGTTTATTGAGAAGCAGGAAAAAAATTTTTACAGCGCTTAAAATAAACGATACGGTAGAGCGGTACTAGTTAAGCAATTTTTACTAAAGGTAACAGATATCATGAACGTGGATTTTACATAATTTTTTCAATATTTGAAAGATAAATTAACCTGCTAAAAATTTGTTAAGAAAAAAGTGTAGTTTTTGATTTTTTTGAGAAGATATTGCTTAAAGTTTGTGAAGCTGCTCAAACTGCTCCAGTGGTACAGTACACAAATATAGGTTTTAGGCATAAAATGATATGACCCCGGAAGTTTCAATGGATTTAGGTCTCTAATACCATACATTATGAGGATCTGACTTTAAAAAAATCCAATGTGTGACCCTTTTTGAGAAAATTCGGTTTGAAAATTTGCAAAAATTTCATATTTTTTTAAGATTTTTAATGGTTTAACTTCTTTAATTAGTATTTAAATCAACAATATGGTTGATGATACAATGTTTATTATTATTTTTTGTATAACAAGACTACGACATTTTAGTTGAAAACCCATATTCATATATATATATATATATATATATATATATATATATATATATATATATATATATATATATATATATATATATATATATATATATATATATGAATTTGTAGTTATATTGCGTAGCTAGTCTTTTCGATATATGACTAGTTATGCAATATAGCTACGAATTCATATATATATATATATATATATATATATATATATATATATATATATATATATATATATATATAATATATATATATATATATATATATATATATATATATATATATATATATATATATATATGTATATATATGTTAACATAATGATTCTGCTATTGCAGTCGTAGTATTTTTTATGTATTCTTATTTTTATTATTTACATATATCTATATATCTATATTTTAATGGATTACAATAAAATAGTATTTCTTATAAACACTTATTCTTGTTTTTACTGTCTTCTTATGCTCACTTTCGGAACTTAAATATGTACATATAGATAATATATACTTATATATCTTAAACAGATAATCTGCAAAAATAAAACAATAAAATCTACAAAACTAGTTTAAAGAACCAAAGGTTATGCCACGCCTACTCTTTAAAAAAAATAAGTATAAGAGAAGTAACGAGGACAATCAGAGAATGGTTTGTGCTTGTTGCTACCTGAAAGATTTAAATTGTATACCGATAAACCTGACACTGGAGAAATTGATCAAAAAACATATTAATCCCAACTATTCAAGACATGTGTTTGAGCATCCAACAGGTAAAACTTACATTAAAACTTTAAATAAAATAGTTTAAGTATTGTAATCAATTTAATATTGTGTTTTGACAGTTTTTTTGACAATTTAAAATGTATTAAACGAAATATTCTTTTTAAAGAAAACATGTCTTACAGCTCCCTCACAACAATGTTCTTTGTTAAAAACAGATGTTTTTTTTTGAATTTATAACTTTAATTTTATTATAAGGAATTTGTTCGTCATGCAAATCATACATGTACAAGCTGGCTTCCCATAATCCTATTCCAATAAATGTTACTGAAAACTGGAAGCAAGCGGACTGGAAGAGACTGTGTCATACAGTGTACAGTCTGTTCTATGGCAAAATCCATGGATCATAGGGTGCTAGAGAAAACTAAAGCTAGAATTGAAAAGTCTAAGTCAGAAAAACCTCTTATTTTATGCCCTAACTGCTTTTGTAACCTTGGTAAAAGTTTACCCCACAATGTTCTCCTGGGCAGGAGAAAGTAAATGTTTCAAGCCACCTAAGTAGCAGATCATCAAAGGTACAACAGCAAGTTACTTCTGTTCAAAAACATCTTCACAGACAAACCTTGGAGAAGAGGTCAGTATTTCAACAGGTTAGGTTTCTTATCTAATATACTATAAATAACATGTGAAATAACTATTTTCATATATTCAGTATCAGCTCTTTTTCAAATATGTAAGAGCAGTTATTAAATTTTATTACAGGAGGAGCATTAATTCCTGTGATCCTTGGCAAACAAATTGAACAAAAAAAGTAAAATTTGAAGAGATCTAATAAACAAACTAGGACTCAGTATATGAATAAGCAGATGTTGCAGGGGCTTCGAAAATGCGGTATTAAATTTGAATCATTCATGGAGGCAAAACTAGACAAGAGGAGCAAGATCCTTTCAGATTTTTAAGCTGTCAAGACAATTCAAGCTGAAGAGAAGATAAACAATAGGATTACAAAGGTAGTTTCAAGAGACCTTGCTTACATTAAAGACCTTACAGAGTTTCTCAGCTTTGTCATGGATTTCGGAAGGCAAAATTACTACTGTACCTTCGTCAGAGTTGGAATTAATTCAGGTAACCAAAGTTTAGCATTCTTTTAATATAGTATTTAGTAAAATATTCCCTCAATATCATGTTCAATTTAGGTAGAGGTTCATTGAAAGTAATCTGTAACATATTCGAGCCTGAAAAAGAGAGAGAGAGGACGACATGGGGGACAGAGGAACATACTCTGGGATCAATGGTTCTGTGGTTCTTGCATATGCAGATAACTTACTTGAACACATATATGTGTTCAAGTATAACATTATATGTGTTTAAGTATAACATTACTTGAACACATATATGTGTTCAAGTAATGTAAAAAGTAGTACATGCAAGTATATGCATGTAATACTTGATAAAATGTAAATCATGAACCTTATATAAATTATTCTAGGCACTTGGAGGAAAACATTCCTGTGCCTGGTGTGAAGGTACATCAAATATTGCTGATGGAGATCTCAGAACTTTGAGATCTTTAGATGATTGCTTTATACTAAACTGCGAGGCTGGATTGCCACATAAAAGGATGCAGGACTTCAAGGTAATGTTAATAATATACATTAAAGATAACATTTTGCCGTAAAAAATTCTGCATTTTATCAGACTTTAATAAATATTATTTTTACATAGAATGTTGTGAAGCCATGCTCGATCAAGGAAGAAGACAAATCCAAGTTGGTGTTAGATGTTATACCTTTGACAGAACTTCACATACTGATGGGCCTTATAAATCATGTCATCATTCTTAACCAAATTGTGGCCCAAGTTTGAGATGTGGGTTTCAAGCTTGGGATGTTTAAGAAAAGGATATCATGGCGGATATTTTGCCAGTAGAGCTACTACCTCTATTAAAACCCCTGCGAAAGTTCCGCGTGGTAGTTCAAGGAACATTCGGAACAAGTTTGGATCCCAATTACAAAGAAGACATTCACGCAATCTTACATGGTTACCCAAGAATACTGTAAGGAGGTAGAATATAAAATGTACCTTTTTGCTTTTAATAATATTGTCTGCGCCAGTACATGGGTATTTCACTATAATTTATGTTATACTATAATTTATACTTTTCTGATCATTACAATAAACAGGATTATTTTAAAAAAATTGATTGATGCTATAGTATCTTCAAAAAGATTTAACTGTCACTTTGTCACAACTGTCACAAAAAGATTTAACTGTCACTTGAAAAGTACATGCTATTACAGCACACTTAGAAGAATTTATCTCCAGATTATTTTCTTGGAAGATATGCAGGCTTCTGAATCAGCTTATGCTAAAATAAAACCTGTCATCAAGAGATTCAATGTTTCCAAATAAACAAAAAACATCTGACAAGAAGCAAGAGAATTGCAGAGGTGTTTTGTAGTATTAACCTGTAATCAAAGAACCATGTCAAAGTTTTAATATATTATTAAAGGATATATTTTCATTGATTTTTTAACTAAAATTTTTTAATCTTGTTATATTTAACAAAAAATAATAATAAACATTGTATTATCAACCATATTGTTGATTTAAATTACTAATTAAAGAAGTTAAACCATTAAAAATCTTTAAAAAATATTATAAAATTTTCCCAAATTT